TGCCAGATTCTGTACTAAATGCTTATATTCTTACAATATGCCAGTGACATCATTGTCTATAGTAAACATATGAAGGAACAGATGCTCAGAAAGGTTAAGTGACTACTGCAGAGCACATGGTGCTAGTAAGTGGGAAAGAAGAGATTCAAACACAGGTAAAAAGTTTCCCACAAGAAGAGGGACATGAATGGAAGAAGGAGTTGAAGCACAGTCCGTCTAGGAAGGCCCTTTGCTCTGTGTACTGAAGTCCCATGGGCCAACTGAGCAGCATTGGGGAAAGAATGGAAAAGTGTGCAGTGGTGGGGGGTGCACTGGATATCTGAGTAGCTGGGGTCAGGCAGAGCCCCAGGGGCAAACATCAACGCAGGGCTGTGTGTGTCATGGAAGTTCAGCTGATGAGTTGTGAAGGGCAGATGTGTCCAGTTTGCAGGTGAGGCACCATTGGGGCAGGTTTCTTGAGAGCTGTTCTTGATGCTGAAGTCTGTCCTCAGCCCTATTCTTCCTTTTCAACTCCTGCCTCACACGGACATCAGTGTGGTCTTCCTAGAATCAAAGCCTCTTCATGTTTCTCTTCTTTAAGTCCTACAAAGTCTCCCTAGAAGAGAGAGCAAAGTCCCAGTCCCTGGACACATTACATCAACTTCCAATCTAGGTTCATTTTCATCTTTGTCCTCTCCTAATGTTCCCTGAGCTCAAGCCACAATGGCCCTTACACCCTTCCCCAAAAGGACATCTACTGTCAAGACATTGTGTGACTTACAGGCTGTTCCCCTTCCCTGCCTGGAATGCCATCTCTTATTAGCCAGCACTGTTGGTGGTGCCTCCTTTTGGAGACTAATTTGCTATCTTCCACACATTTGCTAGACTCTATTATTTCTATTTTACAGTTGAGATTAGTGAGCCTCCTAGAGGTCAAAATGCTTGTCTGGGGTCACAGAATTAGTAGAACCAGAAGCAGGATGTCAGCTTGGCTCTAAGCCAGTCCTCTCAGCCACTGTCCGGCAGGGTCTCCATCTTCCTCTTTCACTGAGTGGCTCCTATTCTACAATCCAGCCCGGATGCCTCTTCTATGGCATTTCCTTGATTATCCCCCCTCACCCCTAAGTCTCTCTGTCAGATAAACAATTTCGCAGGGCTTTCTTCAGTTCTACAATAACACTTAGTACCTCTTCTTACAGTTTGTATCATACAACTCTGCATGTTTATGTTCCCCTGCAATCCATATGTTGAAGCCCCAACCCCCAGTGTAACTTTATTTGGAGTTAGGGCCTTTGTGGAGAAAATTTGGGTTAAATGAGGTCATAAGAATGGGGCCCTGATCCAGTAGAATGTGTGTCCTGAGAAGAGACACCAGAGAGCTCCCTCTTTCTCTATTCACCGTGTGAGCATTCAGCAAAACTGTGGCTGTTCACGAGTCAGGAAGAAAACCCTCACTAGACAGATCTTGTAGGACCTTAATCTGAGGCTTTCCGGCCCCTGGAACGGTGAGAAAATTAAATGTGGATGTGTAAAGTCACCCCATCTATGGAATTTTGTCATGGCAGTCTGAAATGACTAATCTGAGTTCTTTCTTCCTTCCATGGGTCTCTCTTCTGGAATGTGATGCTAACTGGCAGGGACCTCTCGTCAGTGGTCCTGTGTTACCAACACACAGCATGGTGCTTACCGAGTGAATGCCTGGCATGCAGGGGCTCTAGGGAAGAGTTTGTGGAGTCATGCTTTATGGGACTCTCCCTCCCTGGATCTCAGGATCTCACAGCTACAACTTGACCCAGAGCACTGTCCTCTGCTGCCCCAGTTCACCTGTGCTCTGGGTACCCGGGAGATCCTGGAAGTGGATCTGTCTCTTCGGCACATAGCTTCTACCGACTGCTGATTTACTGGCTTCTTGCAGAGGGCTTGGCAGTCTGCTGTCTCCTCTGGCCCTCGTAAAGTGGCCCCCTCCCCTTTGTCTTGAGCCAGCAGCCGCCCTGCAGACTGCCTGGGCAGAATTTATGACAAGGATTCATCAGATTAGGAAGGGAGGAACGTGGTCCTGTTCCAGTGAGTGCAGAATGCAGTCAAACAGCATTGCAGGACGCTGCTGTGCAAACCCATGGGGTGATGCTTGGCATTTTCTGTCTTTAGGAGTCACTTAAGAACATTGTGATTTGGCAGGAAATAACTAAAAAAGGTTTTGGAGCTGAATATGAACCCAACTCTTTCAGACCTCACTTGGGCTCCTGGCTTCCTCCTGCCAGGAAACTTCAAATGATGACATTTTACAATTTGTTCTTCATCAGAGCCCTAAGGCAGCCACTCTCCTTCCTCTTCAAAGATTGGAATATTTTTCTATTTTAGAATATTTTTCACCTTCTTTCTACTTGTTGAGAGTCAGTGAGAGGGAGCTTACAGTTGCTGTTCATCCCCTTTCATTATTAGAGTGCGCTGCTTCATAGGAAATTATTCAATTTTGAAAAACTTGTGCATCCACTGGCCTAACTCTTGCCTTAGTGGGCAACAACTAAAGCTAAAAAATATCTGCTCCATCTTTCACACCACAGCTTTTCTGTATTCGAAGATAGCAATGGATTTCATTTATCAAACTTTCACCAAGGAAGAGATACCTGACATGGATTAAAGGAAAAAAGTTTTGGGACCAGCAGTTAGCGTAATGGCTATGTCGCTGGACTCCCATGTAGTTGACTGTGGTTCGAGTCCTGGATCCGGCAGCTTAAACTCACGCTGGGCACGTGTGTGTGCGTGCTCAAGATCCCTAGAGGAGAATGGAGGAGAAGAGATTGTGGCATGGCCATCCCCCTGGGGAGTGATTTCTCGCTTTCTGTTTCTCTCTCTGTCTTTCTGGTGAGCACATGCGCCCTATAGCAAAAACCTCTCCAAAAAAAGAAAAAGCAATTTCTCTTCTTCTGCTACATCTCCTGTAACATGTCATTCAATACCTGAATGTCCAGTTATGCATTTACACCTTTCATTAGATTGTAAGCTTCTTTACAGGAAGGGCTGGATTTTATTTTCATTCATGTTCAGAGACAACAGAGAACCTGGCCTAGGTAGCTGCTTGGTAAATGAATAATATCTACTGTGTTTATGCTTTATATGTGCTTGAGGTGTCATAATAAAGAAAATATGATACCTGCTCTTCTAAACACTGAAATTGAGAATTCGCATGTTTTTATCAATGAATGATGAATGGGTGAATTTTGATAAGCTGTTTTGGAATGCTACTGTGCTCCTGTGTGGTGGTCACCATCTCATGACAGGGTGTGGTTTTACCAGCAGCCTCTAGATTCTAATGACACACTATCAGGGAAAAGCAACTTGTAGCTATTTCTGGAAAGACTAGATTTTTTGTGAATTATTTGAGGCACTAAGAGGAAGATATTTTATAGGACTCAGTTTTCCACTAACCTGCAGTATTTGGAGGCATAATCATCCATTTTTTCGAGGGTGTAAAGATTTGTGGGAAGCAAGGTAAAGTGTGATTAGAGTCTTGTGGAAGTCCTATAGCCTGTAAAAGTTCACCAGCTCAAAGACATGAGTGCTGGTACTTGCCGGAAAACACTGGACACATTAAAACTTTGGAATGGGGACTGGCAAGTAGTGTGTGGTTAAGGCACTGGAGTCCCACATGGCCGACCACAGTTCAGGTCCCAGATCTGGTGGCTTACTTTCTCACTTAACCCCACCTCTCTCTGGTCAAATTTAAAAAAAAAATAAATAAATAAAATAATTCTCAAAAAATATCGAATGCATCAGAGTAGGCTGGCCTTGTGATCTTGTGGTTTAAGAAGCCAGATCCCACATGGCCAATCATTCAGATTTCAGCCCCAGCAGTTGAAAGCATGCAGGGTACATGTGTGTGCATGCTCCAAATCACAGTAGGATGGCAAGATGGAGGAGAAGGGATTGTGATGTGACCAAGTTCTACTGGGGGGATGTATCTCCTTCTTCCTCTCTGTTTCTCTCTTTCTCTGGCAAGTGTACATGCCTCTGGCAATTAAAATAAATCAGAGTTAAATAATAAGATGGAAAGAAACAAGAAGGGCGAGACTTTCCAGAAAAGGGAGGCAGGATACACTCTTGAGGAAAGAAAAAGTGTTGAATCTGCCTTATGCCCTTTTAAGGGAAGGTGAACCAGATCACTGGATCCCGGAAGTGTTCCGCAGTTACTCGGTATCAGCTATGAGCTGTAATAGGCCCCCTTGAACCCAATTCCATCTTATTCCTTCTCAATGCTTCAGAGAGCAGCAGAACTAGGCCTTGATTCATCTCTCCTGACTACTAATCCTGCATATTTACATAGGAACACACGTGACCTCATTTCTTCTTGGTTAACTGGTATATATGCTGTGATTTTTATGTAACTTTAGATATTCCTAATCACTGGGTTGAAAGATGGCCACTAGATTCAATTCTAGCTTAGACAACAACACAAAGCAGCCTCAATTTTTGGTATACCACGCTCCACAGCTCTCATCTCTGGCCTTTCTGTTTTTGTTCCAGAATGCCTCTAACTCATTTTTGTGGTATTTTATAAATTTAGCTTGAGGTTGAATTCATAACAACATGTGGAAACTACCTTAATTTTATAATTAGAGATTAAGTGACTCATCCAACCTTCTTCTCTCCCCACAAATAATCTGGCAGTAAAAAAAAAATCTTTGCTATTAAGTGGTATTTATTTAATTGTGATTTGCTGTAGAGCTGTTTAAGAGTGGGTCATTAGGTTAAAACCATTGTGCTTGTCCCAGAGCAGAGGATGTCTTGTACTGACTTACGTTTGGGTGTGTTTTCTCTGACGCTGAGCTAGCACAGCCATGTTTACATTACACACACTCTCAAGTTGCTGCCCTTTTTTTTTTTTTTTTTTTTTTTGTTCTTCCAGAGGAAAAAAAGCTACAACACAGACAAATGACCTTATTGAATGTGATGGGTCAGGTCAAGTTGGACCAGTGGCTGATACTTTCCATTTGAATTGACTTAACTCCATTGTTTTCCAGTCTTCCCAATCTTCCTCATCCTCAAATCAATGTTGAAGAAGCAACTAGTAAATTCAGAAGATCTGAAGCCTTGTAGCTTCTATCAAGAGTCTCCTCCATTGAATAGAGTCTTGAGAGGCTAATGAACCAACGGATTCCTACAACACCATTTGAGCCTGTGATTATCTCCAAATGGGTAAGAGTTTGGGAACTTAGAACTGGTTTTGAATTGTCAAAATAAGTCAAGGATGCAAAAGGTGGGGCAAAGCACACCACAAAGCCTTTCCTCAAATAACTTTTCTGAGGTTCTCATCTCCTTTCCATTTACAGCCTTGTTGGCTTTGCATTTTCTGGGCAAGTGTGAGAAATGTCACCACACTTCCTAAAAAGGAACTGAGCAAGATAGATAGTCTCTGCCCCAGCAGGACACCTGGATGGCAGCCTTATCCAGAGCCAAAATGGGGCTGCATGTGCCTGCCTGTTTATTTGTTCTCCTCCTGTTTGGAGACTTTCTCTGATTAATTACTTTCTAGTAATCGAGGCTGCTAACTAATGTCTCATCTGATTAACCTGTAGGTTAGACCTCGATCCCAGAGGGTGGGCTGACCATCCTGCTTGGGGAATGAAGGAGGTCATTGGCCAGGGGCCTCTGGGATGCCAGTTTTGGGCTCGTTTATTTTCTTTA